ATATATATATATATATATATCCCACAATTTATTTATCCAATTGTCTGTTGATGGGTAAATGGGCTGTTTCCAGGATTCAGCTATTATGAATTGGGCTGCTATAAAACACTGCTATACATTAATGCTGCTGTATCATGGCTTAAACTCTTTGAGGAAGACACCCAGCAGGGGGTTACTGAGGCATATGGAATTTCTAATCTTAATTCTTTGAGAAATCTCCATTCTAAATTCCATAATGATTATACTAGTTTACATTCCCACCAACAATGTAGAAGTGTTCTTTTTCACCTCTATGATGCCTGTATTAGTTATTTGTTTGATTCCTTGAAGATTGCCATTCTTTCTGGAATGAGATAGAATCTTAGTGATCTTTTAATTTGCATTTCTCTAATGGCCAGAGATGTTGATTTTTTTTAATTCATTTGTGGGCCATTTGTACAACTTCTGTGAAGAGTCTGTTCATTTCACTTGCCCATTTATTGAGTGGGTCTTTAGTTTCTGGTGGTCAAATTCCCCCTTAAAATCAGGTACAAGACAGGAATCCCCACTATCTCCAACTCTTTTCAACATAGTACTTTAAACATTAGCCATAGCAATCAGGCCAGAGAAAGAAATAAAAGAGACAACTACAGGAAAAGAAGAATTCAAACTGTTATTTGAAAATGACATGATCCTCTACATAGAAGACCCAAGAAAGTCTACCAAAAAATTCTTTCAAATAATAAACTTCAGCCACAAGGCAAGATTAAAAATCAACACAAAAAAATAATTAACATTTGCGTACACCAATTATTAACTTAATGAGAAGGAAATTATGAAAACAATGCCATTCACAGCAGCTTGGATAAAAATGAAATACTTGGGAATTAACTAAACAAGGAAATGAAGGGCCTCTACGAAGAAAAGTACAGTGCTGTGAAAAAGAAGATTAACAAGGACATCAGAAAGTGGAAAGATGCCCCTTACTCCTGGACAATGCAATCAATATTGTCAAAATGGCTATCCTGTTCCACTGCTCCCAGTGGAGAGGAAGGGGCTTCTGGACTGCTGTACCACTGTTCTCAGGGCAGAGGAATGGGCTTCGGGGCTGAGGTAGCTCTGCTGCCAGTGCAGAGAAAGGGGCTTCTGGGCCACCATTTCACCAGTCCCAGCACAGAGAAAGGCCTTCCAGGCCACCTTCCCATGCTCCCAGCTCAGAGGAAGGGGCTTCCAGGCTGCCATTTCATTGTTTCCAGTGCAGAGGAAGGGGCTTCTGGAACACCATAACACTGCTCCCATCACAGAGGAAGGGGCTTTCAGGCTGTCACTCCACCTCTCCCAGCTCAGGGTAAGGGGCTTCCAGGCCACCATTTCACTGCACCCAGCACAGAGGAAGGGACTTCTAGGCTGCCATGACACTGATCCCAGCATAGAGGAGGTGAGCCGCATGGGCGCCAACAGCACCCGCCTATTTGAAATGAGGAGTCATATAAATAAGTCTCAAAATCAGACTTCAAGCTCACCTACAGCTACCCCAAAAGGAAATGAGATGAACACTGAGAGTCAATCACCTGGACTCCCTGAACTGGCAATAAAAGAGGATCTGGCAAAAATGAAATCAGAAATAATTTCTAAGATAACAGCAGAGGTTGTGCCCATAGTGCAAGACATGATTAATAAAGACATGATTATAATAATACTTATAATAAATCTAGAGAGGACACAGATAAAAAAAAGAGGAGCTGAGGAATATGATGGAATCACAATATAGGAAACAAATGGAATCCATAAAACAGACACAAACAGTTTTCTAGGAGATCAAAAACCCCATTGAAAGTCTACACAACAGAATGAGCCAATGTGAGGACAGAATTTCAGATATAGAAGATAAGATTGCAACGGGTGACGGGGAAAAGAAAAATTGCTTCAAAATTGTAAGGGATCATGAGAAATCAATCCAGCAGCTGCTAGATGATGCAAAGAAGAATAACATAAGACTGATTGGACTCAATGAAGAAACGGGAGA